GTTTTGGATAGTCAGGCGTGGTTTCGTTCCATTTCAAACAGCTGTTTGACGCTAGGCGTAACCTTGAAGCAGCTGCCACTCCAACATCCAATCCCAGAGCTTGAAGATTAATCACGGGGACTGTAGTCCTAAACGATAGCTGGGGATTATGGGTAGTGTAGTGTCTTCGGCCATCTTAAACTCCTAGAGGCCTACGTCTGTTTCCGGTTATTTTTATTTTGAAATTCAGTTCCTGACGGACGCCAAAAAATCCAGAGATTATGGAATTAAACCAATAAATAAAAGCAAGGATAATTGTGGGTTATTGTTGAGTAAATAACAGTGTGTTATTTAAAAAATAATAACAAATTAGAAGGAAAAAAAGATTTTAAAAATACAGATTTCAGTATTCTGAGGCTCTGAGCCCCATTTATTTTCCTCACAGACGGCAACAAAAGTCCGAAATTATACGATTTAAAATAAAAGCAATAATTGTGGCTTGATATTGAGTAAGAACATGTTTTTATGAACCACACAGCTTCCGGTCTTCCACGACCCGACCGGAGAAAAAGACGTGCTGCAGGCACGAAACACATTACCAGTAGAAATACATTGCTTTTAAAATCGTGCTGTGCAACACGAAAAAAAGGGGAAAATCGTGTTGGTGAACAGGAAATGCCGTGAGACTGGGTTGCCTGTGTTGCCTTGGCCATATGTTCAGGTTTATTGTCCTGCTGGAAGACCCATCCATGAGCCATTACAGAGTCCTGGCTGAGGGAAGGAGGCTATCGGCCAAGATGTTAAGGTACACGGCCCCGTACACCCTCTCCTCGATGCAGGGAAGTGGCCCTGTCCCCTTAGCAGAGAAACACCCCCAAAGCATAATGTTTCCACCTCCATGCTTGACGGTGGGGATAGTCAGCATCTCTCTTTCTCCAAGCACGGCGTGTCGAGTTGATGCCAAAGATTTACATTTTGGTCTCATCTGACCACATCACGTTGTCCCAAGCCTTCTCTGAATCATTCAGATGTTCATCGACACATTTCAGACGGTTCGTGCATGAGCCTTCTTGATCAGGGGACCTTGCGGGCGCTGCAGGATTTGATCCATTATGGTGTAGTGTGTTACCAACAGTTTTCTTGGTGACTGTAGTCCCAGCTGCCTTGAGATCATTAACAAGTTCCTCCCTTGTAGTTCTTGGCTGATCCCTCACCTTTCTCATGATCATCAATACCCCACGGGGCCAGGTCTTGTGTGGAGCCCCAGACCGAGGGCGATTGATGCTCATTTTGTCTTTATTCCATTTAGAAACACACACATTATTCTTCCAATTAATTGCACCCACAGTTGTCTCCTTCTCACCAAGCTGCTTTCTGATGGTCTTGCAGCCAATCCCAGCCTTGTGCAGGTCTACAGTCTGGTCCCTGAGTTCCTTAGACAGCTCTTTAGTCTTGCCCATGGTGGAGAGGTTGGATTCTGATTCTGTGGACAGGTGTCTTTTATACAGGTAACAAGTTGATATTAGGAGTACTTTCCTAAAGGAAAAGGACTTGTGTAACAGGTCTGTGGGAGCCAGAGTTATTTCCCACAGTTAAATGCAAATCAATTTTTATATTTTATATAATGTCAATTTCTGGATTTTCTTTTTGATATGCTTACTCTCACTGTTACAATAAACCTACCATTAACATTATAAACTGTTCTATTATTTGTAAGTGGGTAAACTTACAAAATCTGCAGGGGATCAAATACTTATTTCCTCCACTGTATAAATAATAGGGATCAATCGAATGCACAGTTAACAGTAGGGCTCTTAAATACCTACACACTTTAAGCTAAGTCAGGGTTTTAATGCAGGATGCTTGCTTGCTGCATGTCTATTTATATCTTATTGAATATAATACCTGTATGTTCACATTCCTCTGATGAGGCTGGTTATGACTCAAGAGGCGAAGCTGCAGACAGGTGAGGGCGTTAAAGTGAGAGAATGAAGTCAGACTGCCAGATGCCATTTTACACTTCGACAGAGAGGAGGAGGACAACAGGGTGAGTGTTAACGCCAGGCTCTGCTGGGATTTTAACACATACATTATTAACTCTGTTAAACTGATTTCAGAATCTAACTTCTTGACTCAAAATCTGCATCCTAGAGTCCAATGAGACTTCTGCAAATGTTGTAATGTTTTTTCCATTTCCTGGTTTCTGACTAATCAGATACACAACATGTAACCGCCCGCTCAGTCAACATGGAGAGCGGCCTGTCTGAAGTCTGACTGATTGTTGTATTGTAACCCACTTTATTATTATGATGGTTTTGATTGAAAGTGTGTTATTATTATCTCCAGTGTTACTGTCTGATCTCTCAGACTGGAGAAGATGAGTGGTTTGAAAGGTGAGGAAGAGGACATATCTTCAGTCTCCAGCTGTCTGTCTCTGAAGAGTGACCAGTCTAAAGGCTGTCCTCCATACTTCAGTAATGAACCCGGACCCTCGGACACAGGGTAAGAGTCTGTTTCTACTGTAAGCTGACCTGAAGAGGATTCAGTTTTTATGTAACGGCAGAAACCCAAAAGCACGACTCAAAAACTCAAAAATGTTTAATCCGGTGACCAGACAGAAGTCAAGAGCTGCTCTTTAAATGAATGAATGAATGATGTGTCAAACATTTGTTGTTTCCAGAGACAGAGAGCAGAGTCTCCATTCTCCAGCTGTCTGTCTCTGAAGAGTGACCGGTCTAAAGTGTTATCTATAAACTCCTATTATACTATTTTTAGGCTTATATTATAGTTCTCAGATATATAACAAACATGTCTATGAAGTGTTTTGCTCAAAATACCAAACAGGTCACCCATTCTAGCCTCATTCCCCTCTATTTCAGCCTGTTACTAAAGTGCTGATTCTGGGTCAGTAGCTTCAAAAATTCACACTTCAACATAAGGGATGTTATGAGATTAAGCAATAAGGTTGAGGGAATATGTAACAAACAAAATACTGTGGTCACTACTGAAACACTGGATGTTTTGTAAAAAATGTAGTATATTGATTTATCAACTAAAATGATATGATACTGATTGGTTTAATGTATGTTCAATTTCAAAATCATCAACTCTGGAATCAATATGATCAGTATTATGCATTTGACAAAGAAAGTTTGCATTATGATTTTTATG